AAAATATTTTCAAAACATCTTTTACCTTCAAACTGTTGGACAAATTTAAAGTTATGCATGACAACTTTTAAATTTGCAAAAATGTTTTGGACAAGGCTAGGTCTTATTGCCCCTACTTCTTTATCTAGAAGTATCTGAACGACGTTTAAGAAAACAATTCTTTGAAACTGATTGACAGTTTTTCATAGGGTTTGTGTTCATTACAAAGAAAATGTTAACCTATTTTAATTTTTTTCATATTAGCAAGAACAACAATTAAATTCATTCCTTTTTAGAGTGAAACATGTTCAAGTTGTATGCTAAATTTTACGAAAATATACGGCGCAGTCCATAACTATTTTTTTTTTACTTCAAGGTGTTAATGCTATTTCAACGATATAGGTTCATATATAGAATGCCTCTTAGTTAATCACAAATTACCTTTCTGTAATATCAAGTTGGTTGCGAGGTTGCATGCTCGAATTCGATGGTGGTAGCCTGTAAATTCCATCCCTAGCTGAGACTTATGAATAATTGAATTAGGCACTAACTGAGCAAACAACATTTGAGAGAAAGAGCAAGAACTGGTATTCGTAGGCAGATTGAGACCAACCAAATATTATAACCGCTTTGGGATACAAACTATGTGCACATATTTCTTTTAATGAATTAGTTAAAAGGCAAACACGTTTTGTAAGTAACTTTTCATGATATTCGATTGATTATCAGATTGATTTCTGGTAAACTGAAGCAATTCAGAGGGATCAATCTAGAAAAATTTTCAATTTCTGGAAAAGTCAATAACTATATAAGTTGTTTGAATTGATCTAAACAAATGCACTTTGTTGTTTTTTATACTTTTGAAATGTTGCTGCAAATAATATTTTTTTTTTTGCAATCTTAACCAATATACGATTTATATCTCGAACAGGTTACAATATCTCAATTGGATGATTGGTCCAAATTTGTCAGAGTCGCTCCGAATAATTGTCTATGCAGGCTCGTGTCTTCTAGCTGACATACCTAGTGAATAATAAACGGTCGGCCAAAACCTAGATATCATATCTAGCAGGTTTGTTTTTCATATTTCATTCTTCGTTATGTTTAATTTACATTAACCAATCCATTTTAACAAGCTCTAAAATTAACTCGGCCTAAAAAATAAGAAGGACTGATTTAAGTAGACTTTATGTATGCAATCTAAAGTATAATGAAGTTTAAACCGCATTGACTATTTTTTTCTCAAATTTGTTATTGAAATGAGACATTCAAATGTAAATACGAATAACCTGATCAATATTTTTAATTGTGAGGTTTGGATAACCTTTAAACAATTTTCTGTCCATTGTGCGCTGCGTTTTGCAATAGATATTATGATCATATTCTATCGATACAATCGATTAATCATTTTAAGTAGTTAAGAATTAGTAGATAACTAACTGCAAACGAAAACCCCTCATTGAGTGTAAATATTAAATGTTTAGACATTTATAGAAAACGGAATAATTACTTATTTTCTATATCGATTTCAAAAATACATATCAAGCGTTTATTTTACTATATAACTGGGTTTAGAACCGACTGCTGGTTGACTGTCATTCCTCTATACCTACAGTAGGTGTTCAACTCATACACATGATCATTTGATTCTGTCATTTACTTTCATTCCACCATTTTCTATATAAGGAAATGCCCGTACAAAGCCAGGTATTTGACAGTTGTTTTCCATTTGTTTGGTGTGTTTGAGCTTTTGATTTTGCCATTTGATAAGATTGATCCGTTTTGAATTTTCCTTGGAGTTCGATATCTTTGTTATTTTACTTTTTTTCATATGAAATGAACCCATGCCGTACGAAATCAACTACTCAAGACTTAATTCAATAAAAAATGCTTCAGTACATGCATGATATAAATGAAACATTGTGGTATTAGGCCTTAAAGTGTACTAGTTTATCAGAAGAAAACATCTCCCATTCTCCTTCCAGCACAGCTGACCTTACGAAATACTATTTATGTTTAGGTCACCCGTCGTGTTGCTCATGTAAGTACAAACCCGGTGATAAATCTAATTCGGTAGGTCACATTCGAGGAATAGAGGACGAGAATGTTATTACAACAGATGGAACATATCCGTTGTCATCTGTGAAACAGATATTCCACAACGGTCAACCAACTCGTGATGGCGTCGAAGGGATGACTTCAACTTTACTACTTTGAACTCTTGATTCAAAAGCTTCCTTGTAAGCAGCGCAACCCCAGCACTGAAATCATGATAGAAAATGTAAGTTCAGGAATATCGTAACAAATGGGAGATATTTACTCCATATGCAGGCGCTGCTGGAATGTTGCTACATATAAATGGAAAGTTCACAATTGGGAAGCTGAAATCATCTCTTTTGTCGTAAAGTTTTGGTCTCAACCGACACTCATAATCAATTTCTAGATGTATGTCAAGATATGAATAAAGGCAACAGTAGTATACCGCTGTTCAAAAGTCATAAATCGATTTAGAGAAAACAAATCCGGGTTACAAACTAAAACCGAGGGAAACACATCAACTATAAGAGGAAACCAACGGAACAACAGAAACACTGAACTGCAACAAAAACAAACGTCAACATACATAGAAACGGACTATTCGATAACAACTGCCATATTCCTGACTTGTTACAAGACATTTTAAGAAAAAAATGGTGGGTTGAACCTGGTTTCATGGCTAGCCAAACCTCCCGCTTATATGGCAATGTTAAAAAATATCGTTAAAATGACGTGACAGGAATACAGTACAAACAAACGCAAGAACACTCAGCACAGATAAATGCATAAATAAATAATATAATAGTACATTACAACATGTAAACCGCAGAATAACAACGGACATCTCCCATGAATTAACGACAGCACAGGACACCACAAACTGCATGGATGGTTCAACACCACAAAAAGTGACGTAGTTTTGTGACGTATATATAATCTTGAAACTCATACAATCATGTGAAACGAGATCCAAATAATTATCATGACTATGACGGTCTTGAAAGGCTATTTTAAATTAATGCTGTGACGACGTCTTAATTATTTGGACTAACACAATACTTTATCCATGGAAAATGGAAATTAACTCGACTATACTGACAAATACGACATATGTGAAATGTACCGAAAATACATAATTCAAACCACAAACGATAAGACATAACACAATATCTAATCGTACTTTCAAAAGAAACATCATAAGTAAACACATGAATGTTGGATATATAAATACCGCGACACGTCATATAGCAATGCTGAGTTCATACTCGGCAAAACAGTCATATTCGGGAATAGGTCACGTTCGGTACTTAGCAGACAGACGACATAGATAGTAAACCACAATCTAAGACGAGGTAAAAATGTCGTTAGTTAGTTTAGACACAGACACATCGTATAGATCAACCAATTCGTGATGGTGTCCATAAAATTTACGGAGTGTCATTTTTAATCTTTCCTCCTCCTAACTCTGTTGGAGCAGTTTCTGCGTTAGGAGCACACTCCTGTATATGAAGTCCGTATAGTGTGAACATGCACGAGCATAACGTATCACTTGAGATATGTAAACACCATACGACGCAGCAGAGGGTGTGTTACTGCTGAGAAATGGGAAATTGATAATTGGGAAGTTGAAATCATCCCGTTTGTCGTCGATTTTAGTGTGAAGTCGTTCATCTGTGTCAATATTGAGGAAAAGATAAAGGTATGAAGCAGTCATTCTAGTATCAGTAGTATCTGTTGAAATCATCTCTTTTGTCGTAAAGTTTTGGTCTCAACCGACACTCATCATCAATTTCTAGATGTATGTCAAGATATGAGACAGACTTAATTGTATCTGTTGTATCCTTGTTTTGTTTGAATCAGAGTGATTTTTTTTACAAAGTACGATTTATTCCACCATAAGATAATATGATTGTATCTACGTTGGCCATTCTTTTTTTCTGAAACTGAGCAGGACCAATTCTTTCATTTTGTCTTTTAGTTTGGAATGAGGAATACTTATGTGACGGGTAGAAAAGTCAAAATTCAAATTAACCTTCGTATATTTCATACGAATTAATTAATCAGCCGTGAATCTGAATGTCTCCTTAACATGATAAATGCAGGAATATATATTCCTATGAACTTAAGATACACTTGGAGACCGTCCACTAGTAGTGATATCCGCATGCGCTAAGGCCATGGACAACCTTTTGTCATTTTCAGTGTAACAGATACTTTAAATACAATTTTGTTTATTTCAACCAATTTTCAACTGTTTGTCTTCAGTTAAATATTTTTTTCGCTTTTGTTCTTCAACAAAATTAGTGTTGAATTCAACATGCATAACTTTGGTGGTTTTTTTTCCTATGTCGACAACGGTCAAACCGCTCGATTCCAACCGTCCGAAAGATCTTTAGGATAGAAACTTTCGTCAAAGTTTTCTTGGCTTCTATGGAAGGCAATGATTTTATACTTGGTATGCCACTGATAAAATTCAGTTGTAGCGATAGTTTGAAACACTCTTTATAAAAGGATTTTTTTTTTCAAAGTTTTCTTGGCTTCAATGAAAGTTCATTTGTTCAATGCATTGTGTAGCTTTACTTAACGAAACAACTTCATGCAGTAGTCACAGTTATTTAATTTAAATGTCTTTATCCAAAAAAATATAGATTTTTTTTTTCTCGATTTGATACTTGATATGTCAGCAGCAGGAAATGTCTAAAACAAATTTCAGTAGTTCATTATTTGCAATTCTCTGATACACACGATACTCACCAAGGTCATAATTTATTGATGACTATGAATTTTAGGCCAATGCATTCCATTTCATTGCGACAATACATTGATCTGTATAGTAAGTAACATTTTTTTTAATTATCTCAAGCTCTGTTCGGAACGTGAAGTGAAACCGATAAAATCATACAGTTTATATAACAGGATTAAATAAAATTGAAATTCAACATATGTACAACTTTACAGAGGATAATATAACAATTAACAATTCAAATAACTTTGGCAGTATATTATAATACAAACATGAATAGTACATAAACAAAGAGAATGTTGAAAATCAATGCTAGGAATTTTTTTTAGCGAGAATGAAAAAAATCTAACATTTTAGTAAAACCCATTTGAGCGCAAGATGTAATACCCTTTTAAGCAAATATTTAAATTATCATGACCCTGTCTGTCCACCATAAATCAATTCCTTTTTTACATATTTACGACATAAAATAGTAAAATGATAGATTTTGATGTCAAAATAGACACAGACTTAAAATGTAACATTCCGAAAAGGCAAAACTATAAGTCTGAAAACATTGCACAATAAACCAATGCTCTAATTTGAACCGTCCATTTTTAAACTTTAATATTACAAACCCGTTCTATTTTAGAATTTATATACCAGTACTCTTACATACTGGGACTCCCACTACCATATGCTAAAAGTTCTTGAATTGCAGTAAGAACTGTTTCTTAAGTTATCTTGTGAGGACTGGTATGCCTATTAAAAAAAACTCATCATGGCAAAGATACCAATCAGGCTTATCATTTTGTACGCCAGACGCGCATTTTGTCACCGAAAGACTCATCAGTGACGCTCGATTCAAAAAATTACTAGTAGAAGGCCAAAATAAGTACGAAGTTGAAGAGCATTTAGAACTCAAAAATTCCGAAATTTATACCATTTTAACCAATTATAATTGCTATCAAGTTAAAATGTAAATTTTCATAAATTATTTTGTTATAAATTAGGCTGTAAGTTTTCTCAATTGAATTGTTTCATATTTTTTATGTCGGGGCATTTCATAGCCGACTATACGGTATGGGTTCTCATTGTTGAAGGCCGTACGATTGCCTAAAATTGCCTAAAATTGCTTACATCTACTTCATTTGAACTTTGGTGGATAGTTGTCTCGATAGCAAGCATCTCCTTATTTTTATATTAAACATAAAAGAATAAAGTAATGAAGGACCCCGTCCAGACCCTCGTAGTATCTTTAATTGTAATTAAGAAAAGAAGATATAGAGAGTAGATGTTAACGAGACAGCATCATATAAAAAATAACCTCCAAATGAACACATAGAAGAAAAGTATCAAACAATAGTAAATATGGATCCAATACTGAACAATTGTTGTAATTATGTTCTTATATGTTATGTTTCCTTGAAACACTTAGTTTTATATTGTTTATTAGTAGCGAAATTAAAATACATCAATTTATCCGCTCCCAGAGGTCCCTACTCCTCCAACAACTTGTTGTTGTAATGTCTGAACTTGTCTCGACAGCTGCTGTATTTGTTTATCAAGTCTTTCATTTTCCTTCTTAACTTGTTCCATCACAATACTGTATCTACCCTCAACAACAGATCTAAGAGATTCAATATTTGTTTCTAGTCCTTGTACTTTATTACCCGACTCTTCCTTCAACGAGTTGACTTCCACTGTGAGCCGTTCAGACTGGACTTTGCTTGCGTCCATGTAATTTTTAACAACCTGAAAGAAGATAAATATACAATTATTTTTTTATATAAAATCTTTCGGTAAAAATGGGAAAGGGGTGTGGACGGTGGATATTTAAATTCACAAGTCCAGGACAAACTGACTAAGAAAAACGACGAAAAGAAAAACAACAGTCTTCTAAGCACAACATAGAAAACTAGACGGACCAACACGAACCACACCAAAAACCGGAGATGATTTGAGGTGCTCCGGAAGATAAGCAGATCCTACTCTACATGAGTCTCATTCGATAATGTCACAATCGAGGAGAAGAGAACTGAATTGTGGTAACGACTATTTGAACAGAGCCGTCGTCATCTGTGAAACGGTTAAGCGACTCGAGATAGCGTCCATTAAATTTTGAAAGGGATGACTTCAAATTTACCCATTTGAACCCTTTGTTTAATATCTTCCTTGTAAGCAGCAATGCTCTATCAAGGAAATCATGATAGGAAACGTATGCTCTGGAATATCGTATCTACTATATACTCCATATACAGGCGCTGGTGGGATGATGCTACAAAGAAAGGGAAAGTTCACGATTGTGAAGCTGAAATCATCCTTTTTTGTCATTTAGGTTTGTTCTCAATCGACCCGCATAGTCAATTTCTATATGAAAGTCAAGATTTGAAGCAGGCTGAACTTTTACTGTGGTATCCTTTATTTTAAGTTTGAAGAAGTGATTATTCCCGAAACCAAACTCACATAGCTGATCTCGAAATAATCACACATGGCTAGAAAAAAAACAGAGAGGGAATTCGTATATCATCTCTAATCCAAATAGAAACATTAAAAACTATATGTAAAATACTTTTCAGAACTAAACAGTCACATGTCGTGAAAACCGGAAAGTTGAACACTTGATGAGTCTATTGAAAGGAGTTGAAGACACACACACAGTATTGTGTTTTACACAATAAATTGCTGATCGCAGATATATGATTGAAAAATATTTTTCTGGAAGTTCTATTATAAGCATGGACCATATAGAATTCTAGACATTGACTGGTTGATGGTGTGCAACGCCACTTGCAACACTATTATATGCTATTTCGTTGCGATCAACGAACCATAAAAATATGTTCAAGGTCAGAGAATCGATGTCAGACGCACAGATGTAAACCTTATAACAATATTAAAAACAAAACGTAATGGAAAAATTATAGTAACTCAAAAAATGACTTCATCATGAAAACCTTAAGCAGTTAAGTTGATTAATGAACCATGGAAGTGAAATCAAGATAAGACTAACCTTGTCAGACTGCATACACACATTGTAACAATTGTACCCACCATATTAAGTATATATACTATTGAGAAACTGACCTAATAAAAGAAGCTAAACGTTGATAAATGAACCATAAAAATGAAGTTAATGACTGACCAACTCAATGAGCACGTAGATGGAAAGATCACGTGATTATTTTTCATGCAGTAATTGATTCATGAAGAAGAGGTCAGGTACAACGGACAGATCTAGATCATTATGATATAAAGCAATTGATTTATATGGTCCATGCTTATAATAGAATTTCCAGAAAAATATTTTTCAATCATATATCTGCGATCAGCAGTTTATCGTGTAAAACACAATACTGTGTCTTCAACTCCTTTATGGATTATCCATCACTTCTACCTTTTGAAATTCATTACTTTATAAAAACAAGTTATGCCGAATGTCGCCGCCGCTAACTGGGTATCCTATTTTCGCTGGCGAGACAAAATACCTTATTTAATCTCGATAGAAAATAAAAGTTCTATGTACAAATTTACCATGTAAAAGTAGATTTTTTAGCGCTCTGTACGGTTAGTTCGAATATTGTAAGAGCTACCAAAAATCTGTCCCGTGAAGCAAATCGCATTGATATTAAACTGACAGGCTATAGATACTAACACCAAGTTGTATAGATCATTGCATGTCTTGTACGTAGGTGAATGCACATGCATATGTTCAAAAGCACGACACTCAATTAGTAACTCACAATGACCTTACACTCATATTTAGTTTCAACTGGCGGAAACTGTCTTGTGTGTAGATGAATATACTTATTTTTTAAATCTCTAAATCAGAGTGTTTCTATAAAAGTATGAATATCAGATGTGGAGTATACGTAAATGAGGCAACACCAAACGACACAAAAAAAAAACAACAGATATATATGGGTCAGCATACGACCTTTAACAATAGACAGATGTCTATAAAATATGCCAAGCTCTAAATCGGACAGAGATTTATAGTTATTTAAATGACTATCAAAAATCTTCCATTAACAACATAATCTCCAAATGACAAAACAAAACAATAAAATATGTGTGCCAGAAGGTACATAATCTCGAACACTGGAATAATAGAAAATACATAATCTCGAACATTGGAATAACAGAATATACATAATAGAAACTAAAAATAAATATCAGAACAGGAAATCACTTGTACCTCTGTCATAATATCAGTATCACAAAAACATAACAGAAATTAAAAATAAATATCAGAAAAGGAAAGCACTTGTACCTCTATAGTATATACCGTGTATCTCGCAAAGGCTTCAGTGTTGAATAAAGTATATGTTGTCGTCTGTATTTGGTGGGCGATTAATATCAGATAGCCGCATTCGGTATGAACCTTGTCAGAGGCAGATTCATGGGATGGGCGAGTGGAGAGGGCACAAATATTGCGGGGGAGTGCTTAATTACATCTTTCTGCAGTTTGAATGCTTCCTCCTAATTTTTTCGGTGCCCCCTTTTAAAACATCATAGATCCTGTCACTGTTTTCTGCCCTATTTTAAAAGTTTAATATTGGGCATTGGTTCTCGAATAGATTTTCTACACATTTTAACATAACCCCTTCTCCGATGGACGACTGTGTTCATTTTTCTGAAATCACATGAAGCGCTGTCGGCCAATAAGCCCACAAGGTACCTTTCTGTCATGTTGAGTTTTATTTATTGCTGTACAAAGATGTGGACAGGATAACGACATGCACAGTCTCCAATAATACAAATCGTATAAACCGTGTCGGCGCAACCAACTTCGAAATTGAACATGCAACATTAGAAATTGAGAGTAAATATTGAAAGAGTAAGAGCTACCACAAAAATGGCTTGTAGAGACATGCAGAAATTTTCATAGGGAGATCCAAGAAAACGCATTGAAATTGAAAAGACAGGCTTGATACTAACATGAAACTGTACATTATGTTTTATGATTAGATGGACGGACTTATTTTCAAATGCATAACACTAAATTAGTATTTCGGTGTCAGAATACTGTCTCCTAGCGGAGTGACAATTAATATGGCCCGGCGTCTTGTGGGTTATATGCCACGTTAATATTCTGGCTCAGTGTTTAGAACTTAGTACAGGACAATTATGTCTTACATCTAGTGTTGGAAAGTTGTTCAAAAGATAATAGTACCAAAAATAAACATGTCACTTAGATTTCTATATCACTAAAAATTATTTGAGCACCCTTCAAAAGAATCTTTTTAAATCTCCTTTATCACTCTTGGCCAAAAGTCAGTAAACCTTGAGATTACAAGTGGTCAGTAATGTTTGCTATATGCAATTTTCAACATCTATACAACAGAAATCAACTCAATATCCACATAGTCAAACAAAAAACTTCTATTTTGTCTGTTTGACGCCCCGAGTTCTATTTATATTATTTATTTGGGTGGTGGACGAAAATATCTACCACAAGTTTAAACTCGATACCATGACTATGATTGCAGCTAAAGTTTTTTTGCTCAACAGTTTTAGATGAGAACATTGTTCATAAACGAAGGATCGGTAATACGACATACTTCAAGTCGAAATGCAGTTAAGAAAGAAGGTAAGTACAATGGATACCTCTAAGGTAAATAAGCTGTCAAGTTCCTGTTTACTAATCAGAGTCAACTTTTCATATTTGATTTTATAACATATACTAGATTAAAAAGATATGTAATCATAGTTGTTATCTTTGATACGTTTTTGTACCTGCAAATAAGTAGAACCTTTGACATCAAAAGTGATTGTTTTAAAACATAACAGCTTATTTTGACAACATTGAACCAAATTGACTGCTTATAGCGAAACATTATTTCAATTTTCCGCAAAAATGTTTGAAACAAAACAAATAATACCAATTTTTTTTGGTCTAAATCGTAGCTAATATTCCATTAATGTAATAGAAATATCGAAAGCTAAACTCAATACGAATTTCCCCTATAAGATTTACTTTTGCAATTCGGTATACTATAAAAATATTTACCTTCCTAAATTCTTCATTTGTACTCTTCTCCGTAGTTACAACATCTTGGACACTTTCTAACTTCTTCACTACAGCATCGATTAGTCGTTTAGCTTCCTCTTCGATTATACTTATGCTCTGGTCTAGTCTCTCCATCTGTTCCTTTGAGTGTTTCTGCACAGAATCCTGTAATTGAATTTCAATCCATTACCATCACAGTAAGCGGGGAAATGGCAGGATGAATCTAACAATGGCAGCAAATACATTGAATGAATCATAAGAAGAAGCATATGAAAAGTAAAGATATGAAAATCAATTTCTGAATAACTAGCAATAGATCTCTTTGAAAGAGGTATAGCTAATTTCTCCTGAATTTATTTCACACAATGGTCTTTTTCTAACAGTCCTCCAATCTTTACTAAAATTCGCTGTATAATAGATTACATATAAGTTTTTTTTAAATTTCAACAAACATTCTGTGTATTTTGCAATAGGTGACCAAATTATATATGTTTCAACACAGCAATTCTGATTGAAATTGGCAAAATTTGAGTAAATATTAAAAAAATGTAACTGAGGGTTCCGCGGAACCATTTTGTCTCGCCTCCGATTGCTGCTGTCAGTATAAAGGTGTAATGTGGACTGTTAAAAGTGAGCCTCCATTTATCAGTAAAATACAAAATTAAAAAAATCCAACTTTTTCTTGGTTCGAGAATTTCTGCAAATTTTAACGGCAAAAAAATCTACGTCCTTCTATCAGTATGCCAAAGTTTCATAAAATTATTTTACGATTTGACAAAGTAATTGGTGTGTAAGAAACTTAAACCGCAGACTAATCTAGTTGCTAAATGCAAAAAGCTAAGTCATTATTTTGCTCTGAATGTCTTTTTTTTAAATCATAAAAAAGCTTCTGTCCAATCAACGTAAAATTACATGAAGGTTTGACAAATAGCATAAACGGTACCAATTTTTCTACACCAGACATGCGCATTTCGACAGTCAATGTCTCTTCAGTAATGCTCGAGGCCAAAATATTTGAAAATCCAAAGCTTTTTAAAAAGATGAAGAGCTATAAACCAAAAGAGGACTAAAAGGTATAGCATAGCCAAAGCCGGGCAAGTATTTAGAGCTTTGTATGAGGGAGAAATCTTCCTCAATTTAAAATAATTTCCAAAATTTTTTAACTGCAAATTTTAATAACACAAAATCCGTATTTTCATGCCAGTACCGAAGTACTGGCTACTGGGCTGGTGATACCCTCGGGGACTATTAGTTATTGATGACTGAATACATTTAACCTTCAACTGTATTTAAATGAAAATTGTTAAACATTAAGTCCATTTTTCATTTAAATACGAAAAAAAATTACAAACAAAATTAAAAAATAAAATTTTGATCTGAATATACTGACTTATTGTCATTAAAATCTTCTGTCCAAATTTCATGAAATTCAATAAAGTTTTTACAAAGTTATTGATGTCTAAAAAGAATTAAACTTTGACCACATGCTCAAGGTAAATGTCGCAGGCTTGACAAACAATTTAATAGGAAGGACATTGTTAACCAAAATTCTGTAGAAAATAATTCTATATTAAGTCTTTCAGATACAAATTAATCCAGTTGTTTAACGATGTCTTTCGAAAGAAACTTTTACAAAAACATGAAAAATTTACAATATTGTCTTCAAAATGAATATGCAGCACTAAATCATTTAAATAGTATGGAAATATATACAAAATGTTTCATTCCTTTTTAGCTATATACACTAGACCCCTTTATTTTAAAGTTCCAGTAGGTTTTAAAAACTTTCTGATCAGTGAGTGAAACAAATACAGGGGAAACTGGTTCACTCCTTTGTAAGAATATGTTTACCATATTTTGACGCCAAACCATTCTCTCCTCCTTTAGTCCATCTGATATCTTGTTTTCTGTTCTCCCGAGCGCCTCTTGCACAGCGTTCTTCAATGTATGCAATGCATTTTTTGTGTACGAATCCAATGCCGATATTCTGGACCTAGCATCATCCATTTCAATTCTTCGTCGTTCATCTGATACCGTGATGTCTTTTTTGTAACTCGTTCTTAATCCTTCTATTTCAGCCCTTACTTTACTCAGTTCTAAAATGTACTGTAAAAATTAAGGATAATAATGTAGAATTATCTCAAACATGCTACTAGTCAAAAGCTCATGGACCTTTGGCTATAAATTTATTTGAATGATAGTAAAAAAAACAATTTCACTTACTATGAATAAATATTTGCTTGTACCCTAGAGATTCGAGATAACATTGATTTGAAACATACTATTCCAATTCATATATGGAAGTGTTCCCTTTCAAATTCGACTGTAGATAGATATAAGTTACATTACAGACGTATACGAGCCTCGAGAAATACTTGTCTATGAAAATAATACTAGTATATAGAAATTCGTAAAGGGTTCCGCAATTTTTACTTTATCAAAGAATGCTCGCAGTAACGGAAAGCAAGCTCAAACTGCTTATCCTGATAATATGAAATTTATACTCTAGAATCGATGGCTGTACTTCATAGAGGTTTTCATACAGCAGTGTACAGCAACACAGACACGATAATATTTATTTAGAAATGAAAAGTTCTGACCATCAACCATTATCCTTACAAGAAATTGTAAATGTGTTCACTTCTGAAAACTTTATAGCAGTTGATGATTCACATGTTTATTTATCTATCTATTTATTTTTTTAAGTTTCTACTGTTTTCAATATTGGCGGACACGTTTTGTGTGTGACTGATCATCAATAGCTGTAAAAGACCCATAAGTTACTTATACTCTTTAGAGGTTTTCAGAACAATTTTTCCCCTGATATACGATATTTAAAAATGGCAACTGAAGGTAAATAGCCCTGCCATCAAATTTAACGTTTTCAAACAATCATCAAATATAGTTGACCTATAATTAATCGTAACTGATTTGACTGATTTTATAACGAAAACTAAATGCTGATTACATGTAATGGAGCAAGCAAATGAGGTAAGACCCCTTCCATCTTACGATAATTCTATATACCAAATATAGTTGACCTTTATTTTATGGTATAAGAAATGCTGACCTAATCACGAAAACTTAACTTTGACCAATTAAAGTGAAAGTAAGGACAAGGTTATGTGTCAAGCATTGTGTAACTTGAATTCGTAAAATTTTGTAAAAACTTCTCCCTTTTAACATTTGGACTACTCATCAGAAAACTTCTAATACTAAGCATGAAAATATTATACGACAACGGAATATGTTTCAAATCTAGTGAATGAACAGAAACTGGATGGAGTAAAATTAAACATATACATGTAGAAATGAGGAGATGTGGCTAGTGTGGTTGTTAATGAGACAATTATCCACTCGAGACCAAAGGACGAGGATGTAAACAACTAATAAAGTATAGGGCACTATTTGTCCTTCAACAATAAGCAAACATAATACCGTACAGTAAGCTTAGAAAAAGCACAAGCGCAACAAAATGTAAAAAAAATCAAACGTGAGAAAACCAACGTCCTGATTTACCCTAAATACAAACAAAGAAAAGCAAATAAAGCGAACAAGTCCAACGACAACCACTGAATTACAGAATCATGTCTTAAAGGGCCAAAATAGTTAATTACTGCATAGTCATACATAATTGAAAAAAAACTAGTTTTACACACCGTAAGTAACAAACAACCTGTTTATTTGCAAAGAGTTTAATTGACTTTTTTCTGGAAATGGTTATAAATGTAATCTAAGTATTCTTAATATTACATTCATTGCTGTTTGTTTTAATCGTTATGCACATCAGAAAAGAGCCAATTACTAGCATATATTTGCAATAAATCAAGTAAGTTCTAGAAAAATGTTAGATTGGAGGATTTTTATGTAAATCTTCCGTCGCTTGTTATTAAATTGATTAATAATTGCTTATTATTTCATTTATATTGACAGAATCATCTAACAAAGCAGTAATACAGACTCTTAAAGGTGGATGAAACGGACGGATAGTTTTCATTGCAAATCGAAAATTTGGCGACGACATATCGTTGGGTCAGTCGTTATTATTTTTCAAATGCCCTGGATCCAAAGCTAAAGTCAGGGACGTATTTAAAAGAATATGTCCCCTTTCTATTACAAATAAATAAAGTTTTAATGGATATCTACCTCTGCATTATTTTTAAGTATGTGATCTTCTATTTCCTTTTTATCTTGGCTTGCTTGTTGAACCAACTTTTCAATAGTATCTTTGTTTTGTTTGATATCGTCGTTGATTTCTTTGATACGTTTGTCGCAATTGTTGGTTCGAGTTGTAAGATCTTGGACCACAGCTCCATAATATTTATCCAGTTTTGTGTACGATGAGTTCAAGTCGTGGATAACTGAATCGTGTCTCCTGACAACGTTTGAGGTTCTCTGAAAATACATGTAAAGCCGTGAAAGGATGCGCTAACTCTTATTTTTTACCACATTTTTTTGTAGTGTGTTTATTGGCAGAAATGCATATATAAATGATATATGGTATACTTACAGTAATTAGTACATCGGCGAATCAAAATAAATACATATGGTTGGTTCTTTGAATCATTTGACAACCTTATAAATAAATAATAATGGTAAAAAGGCAGTCTCGATTGGGTGGATATTTTTATTACTTAAAAGTTTACTTGTATAATTACTCTGTTAGTTGGAGCAGGTGGTTCCAGCAGAAGATCGCTCTTTGCAATGCTTTATTTTTGTAAAACATTATTTTTTCAATAAACAAATTTTCTTTAAGATATTTTTTTAAAGCTACAATATTTACTTTTCCACTTTGCATTTTTGTTCTGTATATATAATATTTAGTTAATAACATTTTTCTTATATGTAGTTTTTTTCCGTTTTTTTTCTAATATCCCAAATAAAACTATGTGTAAGTTAAGTGGTAGTTCAATTTAGACTTTTGTATATACCAATCTATTAAGTTCTACCCATAAGCCAAGGACATGTCCATAATATGTGTTCTATGGCTTCTATTGAGTCCGTACAGAAAGTACATTTATTGTTTTGTATAACTTTAATTTTGTAGAGAAATTCATTTGTCCCAAACATTCTGTGAGTGATCCTGTATTGGAGCCACTGTAATATTCAAGTTCTAGTTATGTAAAATGGCATTCTATACACTTTATTCCAGATAATATTATGTCTATTTAGGATTGAGGACCACTTTTCCTGCATGTGGTTGTGATATTTGTTGTTTTGCATGCGGTGTGATATTTGTTGTTTTATCTTTTAAAACATTGTACATGTCTTTTGGTCCTTTTGTAGATTTTAAAATAATGCAATAGTAATTGGTATAATTGGCCCATAAAGTTTTAAAATCTGATAACATTTGATATCAAGACTTTTCATATAAGAATTAATTGCTGAAATTACACCTTGGTATATAAGAAAGTTGGTATGAAAATTATATGTTTTTTGAAATCCTTGCCAGTTCATTAAATGTCCATCATTATCAATTAAATCATTACTTAACTAGACTCCTTTTTCAGTCCATTTTTTGTACAGAGGGGTTTAATTACCAACCTGAATTTGTTTATTATTCCAAATATTAGATGTGATAAAATTATATTCGTTCTTAACAGCTACTTTAGTTTGGAATTCTGTCTATATATATCTTTATTCTGACAAACCTTCGTCAATACAATGTTATTCAGAAGTTACATGTAATAAATAGTACAGTTATAAACTAAAATAACTTTGACATAATACACACATGAATTAATATGCCTTATAAATGTACATAGCTTTTTTAAATATGATTGTTTTGTCATATTCATTACTTCCTTAAATTTAATTATATTTGGATAATTAATATACTTTTTATCAATATACTTTTGTCTTTCTACAGCCATAAATTTACACTTCATTGCATAGTGGAATTCATCTTCAAGATCTTTTAAGTCACATAGTTCGCATATTCTATTATCTCTCTGATTTTTTTTCCATCTACCACTTTCTATCGGTAATCAGTGGTTAATTAGTCTAAATTGACATAAAGTATAAATATCACGGGGTTCCAAAATATCTAAATACTTTTCGAATCCGAAAAGTTCCTTAAAAAGGCGGTAATTTAATGTTTTTGTGTTCGTTTGAATATCTGAGTACCATGTTTGTTTAAATTGATCTTGGAGAGATGTTCTAACAACAGTCTTTAACCAAATTTCATTTATACAAGTTTGAATTAACCATACATAAGATAAACCAGTATCATTTAGAATAGATTCTATACATTTCATCCAATAAAATTTAACATTGTTTCCATGAGATAAACTAAACATTAATTTGTATGCTATTGTTGATAATTTACTGGGTTTGCTAAAAATCAACTTTGCCCAGTATGAAATCATGCGAACTTTGATATCTAAGCTAATAGGATAACGTCCTAATTCTCCATATATAACACAATTCGGGGTGGAAGATTTTAGATGGAGTGGAAGTTTACAAAATTTCAAATGAACTCTTTCTAATTTATCATTATTTCCAAATCCCCAAATTTCACAGCCGTAAAGTAAAACAGGTTTAACCAATTTATCAAATAAATCTAATTGACAGTTTATTGATAAGCCATGCTTTCTCCCTTTCTTGATAACTTCATACATGGCTCTCGTAGCTTTTTCTGCAAGATGCTTCTTATTTGCTTTCAATGAGCCATTTTTAGAAAAATAAATCCCAAGATAATTAAACTCATTAACAATTTCTAAGTCAGAGTTACCAAAATTAAATTTAAGGTTAACAGGTTGTCTACCACTACAAACAAATCATGATTTTAGTCTTGTCTACATTGACTTTCATTTTCCAAACATTACAATATGATTCAATTTTTTCTAATAATAATTGAAGTTCTGCGGCTGATTCAGCCATTAAAACCGTATCGTCTGCGTAGAGAATTGCAAACAGTTTAACATATATGTTTAGTTCGTCTTCTAGAGCATCTGATATAGTTTTTAAGCCTTTCAAATTCCCTTTACAAAAGAAATCTTCCAAATCGTTCAAAAAAAGCGAAAAAAGAAAAGGGGACTAATTCTCCCCTTGGCGTAGACCAATGTTGCTTTGAAAATAATCAGATTTCTCACCATTGTATGACAAGCATGATTTTATATCATCATACATGTTATGGATAATTTTATACATATAACCATTAATATTATTTACAAGCATCTTATACCATAAAGCTTCTCTAGTCACTGTATCAAATGCTTTCTCAAAATCGACGAAAGCACAGAACATTTTTTTCTTTTTTAATTTCAAAATTTCAAAAAAAGAGTGTAGTGTAAAGATACAATCACAAGTTGAGTAACCATTTCGAAATCCACACTGATTTTCATTAAGTAGTAAAACTTCATCAGAGAACCTTGCAAGTCTATTACTTAAAATAGCTGTAAATAATTTACCCATACAACTTACAATAGTAATGGGTCTATAGTTTTTAGGATCAAACTTATTGCCTTTGTTTTTATAAAATGGCTTGATCGTTCCAATCACCCAAGATACTGGTACTATTCCAGTTCTAAAAATCAAGTTAAACAATGCAGCATAAACATCAATAAAAAAATCGCCAGAAGTCTTAATATATTCGTTAATAATCATATCATCACCACAAGCTTTGTTATTTTTTAAATTCTTAATACATTTTAATTTCTTCTTTCGTAGTTGGACTATTCAAATTATCATTCAGTTTACTCATCAAATTTGTATCATTAGTTGGCAAGTCAATTGGATCTAAGTTACCTGAGTTTAGCTCTTTGAAAAAAATGAGTAACTCCTCAAAATTAATATTCGGTTGTTTTGAATGTTCACGTTGGTTCAAAATTTTCCAATACTCTTTGGTGTTTTGAGATCTAAAATTTTTCAATTTTCGAGTCATATCTTTTTTATGTTTTTTTTTTATAGCCTTGTCCATGACCTTTTTATATCTTTTCTCAGATTCTTTAACTTTATTAGATAATAAAGGCGAAGGCCTTGCCTTCAGTTTGCGTTTAAATTTTCTATAATTCTGTCTCTCAAATTTACACTCAAGGTTAAACCAAGGTTTATCTCCCTTGTTTTTGGATGCTTGTTTTTTTGGCTTGTCTGGTCTTGTTCCTAAAGTCTCCCTTGCGGATTCTATTAGGATTAATCCGATCTCATTCACAAAAGAGTTTATCATGTCATCATTAATACTTTCCAAATTTACATTTACTAAATCATGTAATAAACTGTCTAGTTTTTCAAAATTTAAATTCTCTCTAAATTCAGGTTTCTTTTCATGATCCCATTTATTAACTTTTTTATACGATTGACTAATGAAATTGTTCTGTTCAATGTCTTTATTTACAGATTGGTTACAATTCACACATATATACAAAGGGCAATGTACATCTGAGTACAAATGTGAAAATTCTAAAACGTTCAAATTTACAATGTTTTCAATAAAATTAACATTACATAAACAGTAGTCTACTACACTTGCGTTTCTACAGGTAAATTTTCCAACTCTATCAGTACCTAGTCTTCCATTCATAATAAATAAACTGTTACATTTACATAACTCAAGTAATTGATTACCGTAACGGTTTTTCCCTTTGTCCATACTATTACGATCTATGGGTATATCAAAAAGGTTTAGGTTACATACATCATTATTAGATACACCTTCTAACTCATTATTCTTATCATTTTCGTCAATAAAACTATAATCTTTCTCACTTGCCGTGCGGGCGTTAAAATCCCCGACCATAAATATATTTTCATATTTGGATGAGAGTTCTAGGTACTCGCTTTCAATTTCACCGAAAGCATCAGGTGATGAATAAGCAGTGTATTCTGGTGGTATGTACACAACACCGAGGATAACGTCTTTGATTAGTCTTAAAATCTTACACCATAGAACAAATTTACTATTTGTCTCAATTACTTGGATACAATTCGAAATATTTTCCCTATACCCGAGTACAATACCACCGGACTTCACTCTAGATATCTTACGTCTATTTTGGCTTTTACCTTATATCCCGGTATACAAATTTCATCCATATCGTCAGTTTTGGACTCAACAAAGCATAAAATATCATGTTTTTGAAGTAAATTTTCGAATTCTGGGTATTGTAACTTATGTTTTAGGCCACAACAATTTATGTAAATAAGGTTTAATGCTGTCCAAGCATTAAAAACTTCTTGCCAAAGGGATTTTTTACATGTGTTGTTGGGCCTACATAAGGCAGTTCATTTACCACAAAATGCCTTGTACAAGAATTGTAATAGTACTACTGAAAATACCCTTGCCTTGTACAAATCAACACTGAAGTGAACATAAAAAGAAAAAATATTGACCAATCTTATCTGTATTAAACAATAATGTTTAATATGTAACACATCTCTAATACTAACTATTTTTTAGAGAAAAAAATTAGTGTCTCAAACTGAAAGATATATATTAGGGATGTCAACTCGGTGAACAATTACTTATCGAGTACTCGTTGGTTTTATCGAGCGATACTCGAGTACTCCCTCGGGAATATATCTACAACACAGAAACACAAAAATACGTATTTTACATTCTGTAGTTTGTTGTTCAACGGACGAAAAACCATCTACATAAGTATCTGGGACAAAGAATTACACACCATAATTAATAGCTCACAAGTACTAATTAAGTAAAAAACAACAATCTAATCAATATAAGTTAATGAACACCTATTTAAAAATTATAACAAGGAAAAACCATATCAAACAATTGTATTTGGTAATCGTTAAGAAAACATATTTAATGTTTACAAAGGCGCAAGAATTAGAAGTTTAACTATTCACTGAGGGTCACCCATACCTGCCAACTTTTGAAAATCTCCATGGGGGTTTTAGTGCGTTACAACAATTTCAACGGTTACAAATTTTTGCGGCGTTTTTTGCTCGCGCTGTTTTTTGCTCTTGAAAAAGTGTCATATCTTTTTTTATATAGTTTATGATGATGTCAGAGCTTATAAGCTTTTCTTCTTTCTAGTTACATGATTCTAGTGCTTATATTATTGTGAAGAAAAATTGAATATGTAGCTAGAATACCAGAATATATTTTCTTGTATAGCCATAGGAATATTAAGGTGATTGTTGACTTTTCAAATTTAAAAACATGCACAAAGAAGGAAATATATCTGATTCCTTGTGGAAAAATAAAGTAAAAAATATAAAGCATATTCTTGGACTTCACAAGTATTCATACTAACTTCTTAGATGCATAGACATAATAAACAATTGTGTACGACCGTTGTATAATCTGTATAATTTTACGGTTTGGATTTTGTTCATTGTTGACCACCGTCCGCTGACCTATAGATGCGTACATCCACGTCATTTGGACTCTAGATGGAAATTGTCTCATTTAGAATTATACCACATCTCCTTATTTTAACTTGATTTGTGATTCGTGAAATAAATAAAATAGGTGTTGAAATTGTCACAATGTTCTCCTGATTAAAAACGTTTCAATAAATTTTGTCTGTAACGCCTTGTATACAACAGTCAAATAATTTACTGAGAATACATCAGAAGTAAAGTTTGCCACCATATTTTGTTTTATGTAAACAATTGATTGGTGTTCTAATAACTACAGGCTATGCCGACGGAGGACATTTTAGCGAAAAAACATCCGGACGTTCTAGCGCTAAAGTATAACCCATTTTATCGCCAGATTTTTAACCCATTTTAGTGAAAAGTTCAATTATCAATGGGCATTTCTGCGATATAAATTAATTCATAATAAAATAATAAGTTTATATAGTATTAGAACAAACAATACAGTACAAAGAATACAATTTTATAATGACTATGTAATGATGACAATAATATCAATATGATATATTTTTAAATGTTCTGTAGGGTTCTATTTGGCAGTGTGATCCCAGGGGAAGGCAAAAAATGTTATTTGATGATAGTATCCAGAAAAAGTCAAATATTGCTCTTTTATTTCATGTTTGTTTCAGCAACATGTATAAATAAATTGTAAATGCAAACAACTTAAACATTAAGCCAGAGTATTATTTAACCAGGTAAGTTTTCGCTAAAATGTGCTATCAGAAACGAATTACTCCGGCGCTAAATTGTTCGCTAAAATGTTCTGTTGTACCCGACTATGCGGTATTCTAAAGGATATATTTCTAAACCATGTCTTAATCTTTTTTTTATTTCAGGAGATACTATAAGCACATGCAATATACAAATAAACTACATGCAACATGGAATATATTTAGAAACAATTTAAAAAAAGAGCTCACTTAAACGGTTATTTGATGGTTGGGTTGTTGTCTCATTGACTTATAACCACACCTGTTAATGCATAGAATATCCCCATGGTATAATCTTCCAAAAGTCTTTTATAAACAATATCGTACGATGGTCCTTTAAAACTACACTATTTACTATATTGATCCATTAATTAAAACTGAAATTAAGAAAAGAAAAGAGTTTGACGTCCATACCTTTTTCAGCAACAAGTAAATTCCTTTTCAATAACTTATATGTCATAGTACCCCGCTTTATTCATTAACTTTCCTTCACGTTCCCCCAAGCGCAGTTTACCTTTTAGTTTTGCACAAAATTAATCAATCATAATCTGCATAGTTTTCATATATGAACTGAAAAGCATGAGCTTGTTTTTTGCTCGTTGAAAGTGTTGTCGATTTTCAAACGATATACGTACCATAATGTCATCTGTTATTCGTCTGAAAGAACTTTCCATGATTCCCATAACCCATCTCTGCTGTCTTCTCAATAGTTCCTCAAAAAACAATTTGTCATTGCTTGTCTGAACGTATTCCGAAGACAGACGCTCTCCTGAATTTCTATTTATTCTATCGGGTGGATTTGTTGCAAGATATTGATTGTTCCCAACTGTCTGAAAACCACTTCTGTTGTTGTTATAGTTGAAATCAGTATCGTATGGTGCTCTTAGTGGTGGGAGATACCCTCTTCTGTCCATCACCAGCTCGTCCAAACCGCTCTTGCTCATTTCTGGTGAAAATTCTGGATACAACATCCAGAGTACCTGCTATTTTCAATTTGTAACTTCGTCGGGGTGGTCATTTCTCCATGCTACAAATTAGCACCTTCATCCTGATTTTAAGTAACTCTTATGACAGAATTTCTAAACTAAACTTGGAATCAATAACTAGATACGAACTATGGACACAGGTATGATAGTTTGTTTAATGTGGAAATGTCAACAATTGAAGAACGTTCAGTTACTATTAGTTATATCGATTCGTCTAATTATAATTCCTCCACTTATCGCTGCAAATATTGAAGTGAAATTTCCCAAATCAATGTAGAAAGGACGTTAAATTAATAAGCTAAATCAAATGTCATTTACGATAATAATAAACTCATCATAGATACCAGGATTATAATTGTGTACGCCAGTCGAGTGTTTCGTCTACAAAAATAACAAAAATACCGAAAAAGACTCATCAGTGACGCTCGAGTCAACTTTGATTTTAAACTCCTGAGAAGTTTTAAAAAATAATCACCAATAATGTTAATATGGTTGGTTTTTTTTCTCTCAAATTATGAAAGCTGGGACTAAACATATGAATATGGGACTCGGCAAGTCCTACCGAGATGAGTGGGGCTCGGATTGACTAATAAGACAAATCGGACCGTGTATAAAGTCAGCTTGGACCGATTTTAAAGAGAGATATTCCGACCGTACAAGGGCTGTATAGCCAGTCAAGGTCGTTAAAAACTTCCATTTGTTAAAGAGAGAACTCGGATCGCGATTAAAGATTAAATAGAATAGATAATGGAAACGGGAAATGTGCCAAAGAGACAACAACCCGACCAAAGAGCAGAAAACAGCCCAAGGCCTCTATTGGATCTTCAAGCAGCGAGAAAATCTTGCACCCGGAGCTTCAACTGGCCCTTTAACAATAATGTACACTAGTTCAGCGAAATGGACGCCACACTAAAATCCGGAACATACAAATGAATTAAAATTAAGTAAACACACAAGACTGACAAAGGCTAGAAGTTCCCGACTTGGGACAGACGCAAAAATGCGGCGGGGTGGAACATGTTTTGTGAGATCTCACTGTGACCTCCCCATTTCCCCTTATACCTCTGGCCAATGTGGAATAAAGAAACACACAGCAATACGCACAGTAAAACTCAGTTAAAAAGAAGTCAGAGTCCTATGTTATATATAACAGAAAAAAACTAAGCAAAATGACAATGATCAACATAGATAAACAAAGGCCCATTACTTATGTCTTAATCAAACAGTTCACATTAAAGTATCATATGTTGCTGTATTTGCACTAGAACAAATAGATAGACTGCATTAGTTCCAGATTTGCGAGTGAAGCTTATCAAAATAATTGATTTAATATCATTTTCATACATCGTCATAGGGTAAATAAATTATACACACGTTATACAAAATAAAGAAGTAAAGGTTGAATTGGTTCTGTTTGAAATGATGAATTCATTATAATTTTCGATTTATTAAAATTAAATCTTTATTTTCATTGCATATTTTTTTCGTATTTTACATTGAATTAAATGAAATAATCAGTCGTTAATGAAGATTATTAAATGTAATTAATCCTAAGAACACAGTGATCAAATTTTGATAACAGTGGTAAACCTATTTATTACATGTTGAGAAATAAATCTAAATCAAAGTGATCGAAATCACTTCAATTCAATGTTTTATTAAAGTCTCATCTCTCAACAAGTACAATCAATATTTATACATTATAAAACAATACTAAATAAAATGAGAGCCATTCTATACAGAATTATAAGAGGCTATTAAAATGCATAGATATAATACACTAAACAATAAGAAATAAAATATTATTTACAATATATAAAATGTCTACGCCTTTTTAAAATTAAATAACAGGTTTTGGCACACACACGTATCATATTTACATCTGCGAATAAAAACACTAACTTTTGGTTATCATCTAAAGTATTAAAATTTTCATTAAAAGTTTCAGCAACATAAAATAAATGGTTTCTAAAATCGTCATAAAGAGGACATCTTCAATAAAACCGTCACATATATGGCACACTCTGTTTTCTAAAACAATATTTTCATATCTCCCTGTTTCAATCCTTAGGGGAGCAACACCACACCTAAATTTGGCGAAAGCTCTTCTGTGACTGAAGGGTAAAGCTATTTTGCAGTATTCCTCCGGTTCAAAATTTTCTTTAAACAATCTGTACGTTCGTAGCTTATTGCCACCTCTACCCGATATAGATTTATCAGAATGTAAAATACCATGCCAATTATCGACATGTTTATCGTGTAATTTTGACATAAATAGTTTTACAATATAGTTAGTGTCCATATTTTCAGGATACGATAAATGACTTAAATTTATTTCACAGAAGGTTTTCCTTACTAAAAAGTTCCAGTTTTTAACACACTTATGCTTAGTACTCATACTATCAGCCCACTTATGAACTTTTGCATTTAACCGATTTGAGCTCATGTTATTTAATCTACACCACAAACGAATAATATTTTTCCACTGCTTATCAAAAATAGGTGTTTTACCTAAGTCTCCAGTATCTGCAGCATTTGGTGCATATTTTCCTACTCAAAGAAAAAATCTGCATGCCCTATTATGTATGGAATTTATACAAGAATATGTTTTTACACCCCATATACCTGCTCCATATTCTATTATAGGACAAACCAAACTTTCATATAATTTTACAAATACATCGAAACAAACACCACCTAAAAGTTTACACTTGGCTATTACCAATCCTAAAGCTCTATTTGCTGGAGATGCAACGGCTTTTCCAGTAATATTATAGTCTAAATGCTCGTTTAAAACGAGACCAAGATAAGTATAATTACTTGAAAACTTAATAGTATGACCATAACAATTAAAAATTACATCAGATCTAGGCATAGATGGGTATAGATTATATATATATATATATATAATTTTAAAAGATCCATTTTGTAACATCTTGTGATCCGTTTATTAGGCAATCGCCAATGGCAGTCACCAGGGTTTAAGAACATCTGTTGTTCGACCTGTTAGTCAAATGCGTTTTGTTAAAATATACTTTTTCACTTTTTTGGTCTTTTGGAAAATGTTGTTTGTGCTGTATTTAGACCCCTCTATCAAGAAATTTGTTTTGCATGCACACGTATAAAAATTGCGGTTTTTATCCAACGCAATCATAGGTTTGAACGTTGTTTTCAATTAAGACTTGTATTATTAGTTACATAGTGTGCTAGTGACCTAATACGGTATATATGGGGTCAGTAAATTCCATATGGGGTGAGAGCGAAGTGACCTAATACGGTATATATGGGGTCAGTAAATTCCATATGGGGTGAGAGCGAAGCTCGAATCCCCATATGGAATTTACTGACCCCATATATACCGTATTAGGTCACTAGCACACTATGTAACGAATTTATCTTATCGACTATCTTAACGTGTGAAATTTAGACTAGTGACCTATCAAATGAGCAAGTCTTCAATACTGTTAGCATTAAGAAACTACTTCCATTGATCCTAAAAAAACAGATACCAACAATAACAACTTGTTAGGTTTAAATGTGTTTTATGAATAAATTTCAATCTTAATCATCACTTTCTTCGTCTGTTGAAACCTTTCGATTTTTTCTCAGTACCGTTTTGTTTTTATAAAGGGACGTAACACCACTACTAACCGTGTATGAAATAAGCCCCGCCTCCCTACTACCTTATAAGGAATATAAAGGGACGTAACATCACTACTAACCGTGTATGAGATAAGCCCCGCCTCCCTACTAACCTAATATGAAATATACACGGTCTCCACGAGGGCGCTTTTAACCAATCACATTCCTAGAAATGTATAGGAGGTAAGATATATATAAAATGACTGAATAATAGCCAACGATAAATCTTACGGGGCGATGGATCATATAATTATGATACAGTACACTACAAAATATAATATATAACCAGTCTAAAAGGGTACAACATCACCAAAAAATAACAATAAAATGAACAAATGTAACTATAAATATTTCGGATAACAGATATCCTTCATCAGTATGATCACGATGTAAAATGAATCTTATCAACCTTTTCTGCTTATAAAATTATAGCAATCTTGAATTCTATATAAAAAAAAACAGTTTTACAAGAACATCATAAAGACGCTAGTATAATTCTAAAATTTCCAAACACGGCGCAACGACATACCAAAATAAAAATAGTAATAATTTGCGATATGAGCTTGCACAACTTTAAAATTCCAAAGGTGACGACAGTTAAGATGTTACAACAACTGCGTAAAAATACATTCCCAATAAACAGCACTAACCGATCTAAGCTTGTATAATATTTCAAATTTGACAACGGTAGAGTAATTAAAACAGTGGCTGCGTTTCATCGATGATGTTGATATGAAATGGATTGAATCCCAACAAAAATTGAATGATTTTATCAGACATGCAAACAACGCCCACCAGTCAATTAAATTTACATATGAAATTTCCGACTCTAAAATATCTTTCTTAGACACTACTACATCTATAAAGGACGGTGTCATATCAACAGATCTCTACTGTAAACCTACAGATAAACATCAGTACCTTTCTCCCCAAAGCTGTCACCCAAAACACTGTACAAAAAGTATCCAGTACAGTCAAGCTCTCAGAATAAGGAAGATTTGCTCCTCTGGGGAGGCTGTCACTAACCGGTTACAGAAACTTTGCGGATTTTTTACCAAACGAGGTTATAAAAAATGGGACATAGATAAGGGGTTTGCTTGTGCCAACAATAACAGCCGAAATGACCTGTTACAGTACAAACAGAAGAGTCGCAGTAAAATAGTTTCGTTTGTTTTAACATACAATCCTGCCTTTACTAACCTTTCACATTTGATCCGTGCTAATTGGCAAATTATTGCCAAGCACCCAAAATTATCCAAGATCTTTCCCAATCCTCCTGTCTTAGCTGTCCGAAGACCAGCAAGTCTGAAAGACTTATTTGTGAGAGCTGACGTCTCCTCTAATAAAAGCGGTTCAACTGCAAGATGGTGCAAGTCGTGTGGTAACAGACGATGTCTGACTTGCCAACAAATACTAAATACTCAAACATTTACTTGCCACTTCACTGGGTCTGTGTACACTATATTTTGCAATGTAACTTTCAAAACCCAAAATGTTGTATACCTTCTTGAGTGTCG